CATTTGTGTGTCACCGACTGTGTCTGCAGCTGTGTGTGTGCCCGGCTGTGTGTGCAGCTGCGTGTGTGTGGCTGTGTCTGTCCGGCTGTGTGTGTACCCAGCTGTTTATGCGTGGCTGTGTGTACCCGGCTGTGTGTACAGATTGCACATGTCCCCTTGTGGCTAGACCATGGACACTCACAGAGCTGCAGGCCCTTCCCTCTGCTCCAGCCCTTTTGGTAGCACCATTGGCCGAGGAGATGATGGTCTTCATCCTCTGTCGCTGTTCAGCAGCTATGGTGTGCGAATCTCCATCTGGCCCAAGCACCTACAGCGTACACCACACTCGCACTGACGCTTTGAAATGCTTACAGAGTTTCCATTTCACACGGATCATGCAGACTTTTGAAAAGGCATACGCTTCATATGACAGACATAGCTAAATGCAAAGAGGAGAGATTGTGGCAAAAGGCGTGAGCAGGAATGCTGATGCTCGCTTTGAGCAGCTTTGGGAATGCGATGCAGGGGACAGAGAGCAGTGAGAAGCATCCGGCCAGGGGCTCGATGGACTACCTCTCTGGGGGGGGGGCAGGCCTGGCTGCCACTGAGCCCCCCGCTGCCCATGCAGCCGCCCCCTGCCTGCCGACGGGGCTCTCGGGCAGGGCTGCTGAGCGACAGCCCATGGAGGCCGTCCCACACCGCAGGCTCCTCGGGCTCATCACGAAACTGACGCATCATCTCCAGCACGTTGGTGGGCATCACTTCGGGGGTGGAGGTGTCACCCTGCCATGCACAGGAGCCCGCACTGTTAGGCACCCACACTCACTCGCAGTCTCACTTAAATACTCACTCATTCACACACTCATTTATACACTTACTCATACACTCACAGTTGCTAATGTACCTCACACACTCACAGGATCCTGCCCCACTAGGCCTCTGCACTGCTCACTCACTAACTCACTCACTCACTCACTCGAGCCTGTGCCATTAGTCCTGAATTTTGCACTCACACCCACACACTTACTCACTCACACACTCACTAATTCACTCACAACACACACTCATTCACTCACTTAGTCACACAATCACTCACTAACACACACACACACACACAGGAACCCCCTTAGGCCTGCGCACTGCACTCTCACTCACACTCACTCACACAATCACTCAATCACCCACACATACACACACACTCACAGGAGCCCACACCATTAGGGCTGTGTACTGTACTCTCACCTGTACTCGCTTGCTCACTCACTCACTCACCTATACATGTATATTCACTCATTCCCACACACACATTTACTGTTACTCCCTCTCACACACACACTGACCCGCCCACAGGGAGAGAGAAAGGAGTACAATACATCCTGCTGCCCTTACAGTGATCCAGGGGTTATTCAGCAGCTCACTGGCTGTAATGCGGTGAGCAGGATCCACTTTCAGCAAACAACACAGAACCTTCTTGGCTTATTAGAAGAAAAAGAACAAATAATCTCACTTAATGTGCATTTTGGGCATCATTTGGATTCTTATATATATTGACAAATTACAAATAACTTATACTTTAACAAATAATGACAAATTGTCAAATAACTTGTAAAATATAGACTCAAATATACACACACTCACTTGATAAAATACTGAGTACAAACTCAGGGAAAGTATTGAAATAGATAGAAGAACACGAATAACAGGTCTCTCTGGGTAGTTTGATAAATCAAGGTTTTAGTATTTCTCTAAAGTTTTTGTACCCAATGAGGTATGCTACTCCATGGGAAAGACTTCCGTTAATCATGAGTGCAGGATGCCTTGGCAAATGTACAGTTTTTAAAAAGTTTCCATACTTTTTTAAAGCTCCAGTCAAGAAAAGGAGCAGAAAGTTACCTCCATGACTGATAGTGTCCCAGATGGGGCCAGTGAAGAGAAGTTCTCCCTTGGTGATGATTTCAAACAGCTTGTCCTCAGAGCTGGACATGAAGGGAGGCTCCCCACACAGCCTTCAGTGGAAGAACTTGATCTCAGAGGTGCACATCATATTCTACCATGTTCTACATGCAGCACTCTTCAACCAACACCAGAAGGAAGGTTCTACAGCAGAGGTCAACCGGTTAAACCAGTCAATGGCTGTTCACGGGTCAAGCAGAATCCCAGAACCTTCCCGATCATCAACATCTACTGCAGGGGACCCCTCCCCCTGGTTGTCAAAATATAGGGTACCACTGCGACTCAGTAGCTCCCCAGATTTATTAAAGTAGCTCTCTTTGTAAAAGAGGATGGAGGTTTGAGACCACTGTTCTACAGTTTGATGCATGATTTTGAAACAAAGTAACTAAACCAAATTGACTAAGTTTATGCACTGCATGATCAACAACAGACTGCATATACATCAGTGGTCCCGTAACATAACAGAGCTGAAACATTCCTATCGCCGACTCACACCGTAGCCGTCATAACATTGTAGCACCACACACTGATGTGTTTGTGGTGATGCTGGCGTAAACAAACCTACTAAACAACAACATTACTGGTTTATGTATTTACTATACTGTATTTTTTATCATTAGAATGTACCCTTTCTATTTATTAAAAAAAAATTTACTGTACACTATGCCATCTAGGTTTAAGTACACTCTATATTTGCACGGCAACAAAATTGCCTAATGACACATTTCTCAGAACATATTGTCGTTAACCAACATATGACTGTACAATATTAAAGTTACATGAAGGAAAGCACTATTGCACTCTTTAGAAGGTGCATACATATCCATTTTAAAAAAGAAGTCTAATAAGTGACTAACTTTAGATATGAGCACACATAGTAGCTAGTGCATAATGAACTGAGAACCCCACTGGGGTGTGAGTGGAGCCTCCTTGTGGTAGGAATTCTACCTACAGCATGTACATGATGACCCCGATGCTCCACACATCACACTGCTGGCTGTAGTCGTGAGCGCTGATCACCTCTGGTGCTGAGAGACAAATGGGCACCATGCCTCATTACAGTCAGCTGTGAGGTAAACTCTCATTCTGCTAAGAATGACCTGTTAGGCCGCATAACTACTTGCCTTTGTATACTGTCTGTACCTCTAATAACATTTAAATGAGAGCTCGTGTACTTATCATGTCGTCAGCACCCTTTATAAATATGCCTTTACAGCCAATTAAAAAGGGCCATAGCAAATGGAAAATGAAAGCAAGACAGTGTGCTATAAGGTCATGAGTAGAGGCAGGCATGTGTGTGCGTGCTGTACCCATGTAGACCGGAGTCCCACAGGTGGCCTGAAGCATGTTCTCACTGCCCACCCCACCCTTCTGCACCGAGAGCCCAAAGTCCGTCACCTGTAGGGGGGAAAGAGGAAACGTGCTGCATAAGGCTAGCATGCAGCTTAGCATTACAGTCACCCACCGCATCCTTTTCCTCTCTTTAGTCCCCTGGAACAAGCCCTACCTTACTGACCAATAGGAAATGCCAATGGGGACCATGTGATTCCAAACTGGCAACTGAGGTTTAGTACTACTAAACAGGAAGCAGCAGTATGAATTTGTTAACATTTCCACTGCTTCACACACATCAGTTCCTCGGGATAATCCATGAAACACTTAATCCCAGTTCTTTTTTTGTACCAGTATTATGCGTTTTGGCATTATTGAATATTTCTAATTTACATTTGACCCTTTTGAAAAGGCCCAATATGCTCTTATCTGGGATGAGTAAACATCACACGCAATCCATACATGTGGCTTCAGTAGAACATCCAGCGGCTGGAGCCAAACAGAGCAGATAGGACTGGAGGAGAAATGAGCGTCTCTGGATAGATAAGGTGCCTTTATCAGGTGCCAGGATGGAGCTGTCTTTAAACACTGCCTATTTAATTCATGCCATACGGAGCTTCCTTACAGCACCAGCCTATTTTATCTGTCTGTTGTACAAAGGCAGCTCTGTAGGCACCCATTTGCCTTCATAGACAATCTTGATTCATCGTTCTTCCTGGCATTATATTGGTGCAAACCTTAGGTGATAATGGGGCCAAAAAGGGAGACAAGTAGTTGAAAGGGCTCCTAAACAGCCCTAGCAGGGATTAAGTGTAATACTATCCCTTATAACAAGGGCTCATTCATCTCCAGTTGGCTGCTTCCTTACCTTGATATTGAACATCTCATTTCCATCACTACTGTGGTAACTCTTGACTAAAATGTTCTCCAGTTTTAGGTCCCGGTGGACGATATCTGAAACCAGCAAAATTATTCACAAAAAGGGCAAAACACAAAAGTTACTAAAGTTACATTCTTAAAATGGTTTTACTACTTAGTACTATTAGCAAAGTTGAGTTAATTCTGTATCCAAACACGATGATTAATACATTCCAATGAGGGGTAATTTTATGAGCGGACTTCTTCACACCAAATGGGAAATTCTTCACCGTGTTTGGTATAACAGGTGACCCAGCCCCCCCGAATGCAGCAGTCGTCAGCTAGGGGCATGACTAATTTGCCATCAGTGGAATAGCGGGTAGCAGTTGACAATTTTTTTAAGCGCAATTGCCACATCTCCCGAGAGCCATTAACCTCAATGTGCCCTGACAGAAAAGAAATGTATTGTGACAAATCATTATTTGCTTCATTCTGAAAACAGTACGGCACAGCGCATAATGTTCACTCTTGCTGATGTGCTAGATAATGCTGCAACTGGAGTGTTTTGAGGGAGCTAAAAGGTTATAATCGATGCCGGCGCCAGCCTGACTTGATGGGATGGAAAATAAAGTGTCAGACCACATATTACTTCCTGGGAAGTTTTGTCCTCTGGAGTCTTCAAGTTGAGCACGCCTGGTTTTTGCGAGCAGGGAATAGGAGGACGTCTGTCCCCCATACACTGAGCTGCACTCCTCATTAAATGTGAGGACTGGTAAATGTCAGCAGAGAAGGAGCCTATTTTTGCAGAATTGGAATCAAATATTTTGTTTTCATATACACAGAAAAGGTGTCCAAAAAGTGCAAAAATATCAATCAAAGGTCAAGCAAGATTCTGGCTAAAATATATATAATTAAAATCTCAAAGGATTCATAAGCCTCACAATACACCTACGTAATGCATAAATGCAAACACTTTTGTGAAACAGCTTCCCTTGAGGACCATCCAATGGTTTCTGAACTGGTTTTTGGCCGGCCTCAGCTCTTAATTGCTTAACTGAAGTCATATTCAGGCTGTGGTTCAGGTGTAAAGCAGGCACTAATTAAAATTTATTCTAAAGTCTGCAGATGTCCAACCCTTGAAGTCCAGGGATTCACTCTGCTTTAAATTTTTCATTCAAAATATTTTCTGTCATGAAGGCAGAACATGATTAGCATATCAAGACTGACATACGCATGATATTATCAGACATAAAACTCTGGCACTTAATATTTGATCACTCACACAGGGCCAGCGGAAATGCATTACCATCATTTCTTGTGTCTTAAAGAACAGACAGACACATGCTCTGGGGGACTCTTAGTAAACACACCTATTAATCAGTATTCATAACCTACTTGCTGCTAATTAGTCATTAGCCACATGTAATGAAGTCTTATTGCTGAGCAACATCCTAAATTGCCTCTAACTATAGATTTCACTGCTGTGGAAAAATACATTGCAAATAAACCCATCAGACTCAATTACAAAGGTCTGTTTTTATGTCTGGCTGTTATACATCATTAGCTCATTATTAAAATTAGCTAAGTGGTATAATGACTAGGAGCCATAATGTGGTGTCAGTGCTCTTGATTATCAAATGTCAGCAAACACAAAGAGCGGAGATCTGATGTCACTAAGCTACATCCGTTTACTAACAGAACGTCAGCTATGCTTGCTGGAGACTGAAGTAGATGGTCTACAACAGGTTTACAAACAGGAAGAGAAAAAAAGTTTTTTTTTTGCTCAATCTCCTCATGTTAGGATGTACGCCGATGGCACAGTAACAGTTTGTCAGTGATTTCTCATTTCGGCGCCTTGACATCGATCTAGCACGTCTTACCCATTTTGTGCAGGTAGACGATGGCCTCTGCCAGGCTGCTGATGACATGCCGGCTCTCCTCCTCGGTGAAGCGCTGCTTCTTCTGCAGAAGCTCCTTAAGTTCTCCCCCTTCGCAGAGCTCGGTCACCAGGTACGTCCTCTGTGACAGAGCACGGGCACGGGACGTGTGTGTAAGCAGCTGAAGGGCCGCATAGGAGCGCGCAGGGCTGCGCAGGCTTTGCAACGGCCCGCACTTGGCTCTGATGACACTCCTGATGGCAGCTGCACAAGCCAGCAGCTGGAAACTTAACTGAATATTATTTACTGCCTGTTAATTATGTAGATGTAACACAATGTATTTTTACCCAAAAATGACAAAATCTGGAATACATTTTGTGACATTATTGTTTGACAGAATCCTAATTTCTCTATTTACAGGTTTTAGAGGGTTGTGGATGGAAGTATACTCTATGATACAGTACATTTATTGTCTGAGCTGGTGTGGTTCTTAGGGTACTATGTAAACAATTATCCATCCATCCATCCATCTTCTGTAACCGCTTGTCCTATTCTGGGTCACAGGGGCTCTGGAGCCTATTGTAAATAATTAGACTAGCTATTTTATTTTAAAGCCAGGGTGTCCATGATGGTAGCATGTTGAGTGCCCCCTGGAGAAACAGCCCGGCCAGTGGTATTTGCTTACCTTTGGTGTTTCTAACACTTCCTCCAGGTGTATGACATGAGTGTGGTAGACACGTTTCAGTATGCTGACCTCCCTCTCCAGCAGCATCACACCAGAGCTTCCAGCCTGCGCAGAGATGTGGTCTCCAGAGCTTATTCAGGGATCACCTCAAACCAAGTACAGTACCCGAACCCATCCAGCACTGCTCACAGCCGGCTGAGGGAGCTGACTTGTGCGGCAGGCCTTTCACAGCCGGCTAAGGGAGCCGACTTGTGCGGCAGGCCTTTCAGGTTTTCCAGCGCCATGGGCTTACCTTCTCCCTGTTGACCTTCTTAATGGCCCACTTCTTCTGGGTCTGCATGTGGGTGGCTTCATAGACGACCCCGAAGCTGCCCTTTCCCAGCTTTCTCCCAAATGAGTACAACTGCTACAAACGTATGAGAGAGAACAGCATCTGCAACACTATTCACTTGTACTGTTTACCCAAAGGGCCACTTCATATGACATCACAAGCAGCTTAGTTAAGTTATTTTCCAGCCTCTTAGCCCATATTCAGAGGAGCCTAAATCCTAAGATGTGTCTTACATTACACGTGTTCTGGAGAAGGACGTTTCGTCCTCTCTGGAGCTGTAGAACATAGGACTGATAATCAGTTACCAGTGATTAGGTTGCAGGCGCAGTTCCTTCTGTCTCAGGATTAATTAACTTGATTATTATCATGCAAAGCTGAGGCCTGCCTGTTAAAATTCAGGTAAAGAGAGCAGCTCCTGCCCCCCTCCCCAAGTCAGGAAGTGGATCAGAAGATTGGAGTGGAGAGCAGAGGAATGGTGAGAGGGTGTTTGTGTGGGCAGAGTATTGAGTGAAAGGGAGAGCACTGGTACTCACCTGTGTCATTAGGTAAGAGTGCGTGTGGGATGGGGTGGTGGCATTTGGGAGGAGTGAGAGAGTTGGGGTTTGTGTGTGTAGGAACAATGGAGTGGGCAGGTGGGGTGGGACCATCGGTACCTGGATGGCAGCCTCATCCTCCACACGCGTGTGGGGCACCTTCCTCTCAGAGCTGCTTGCTCGTACCCACTGGGACGGCATTCTCCGGCCGGCCTCCAAAGCATTCACCCTTCGCATCTAATGACAAAAGGCTTTATGCTAATCAGACGTGGAGGATGGAGCAAAAAAAAATGAGCTCTCGTGTAGAAGGTGACAGAAGGAATCCACTAAGGAAAGCCAGAGATCACGTATTAGATTGGATCTCAGAGAAAACACCTGAACTGAAAACATTCCTAATCATCTCATTGCTGGCTAATGAAATACTTTCAAAAGGAAACAGCGTTCAATAAAAGCAGGGATACACAAAGGTGAAGAAGAGTCATATGTAAATAGTGTGCTGTTTACATGCAGCCGGCACCTGGAGCTTATCATTCACAGCAGTGGATCTTGTCTGCTATTAAAATGTCTACTATTTATCTCAGGCTTTACATCAGAGACCATACAGGAAAACTGACTTCAAAGTTAATATCCTTGATTTCATCCTAAGCACTTCCCTTTTTATTCACAGCAGTTTGAAACCTTCAGAGGGAAATCAATAGCTAAACACCTCAGTAAGTGGCCTGCCTGTGTCGCCGTGCCGACACGTCTGCTGGAGGTGCAGTGCCTCTCGCTCGCGCTGTTTACTGTAAGTGCCACTCAGCCTCAAATTAAACCCATTGACAGCATGATGACAAAACAGTATCTGCCCACTAATTTCTGAATTTACGAAGGACTTTACAATGACTAAAAATCTGAAGTTAATTATTAAGGACAGACTTACTGTTCATAGAGATAGAAGAAGAGATACAAAATATTGCCGTTTTATAATATGTTGCGCCATATTGCTTCAGTCTTTTATTTTTCTTTGAACAAGGTCCACAAAATTTGCTTTTTAATAATTTGATTTACTCTGTCACAATTTTTTTAATTATAAATATTTTGATAATCATTGCCATAATTACAATAGTATAAATAAAATGTAGCTATCTTTGCAAACAATTTATTATGTTAAATATATGATTATGCAGAAAAAAATAGAAATAGATTTAGAATGAATGCTGGAGCACATATTGGTTGGAATTGCAAAATTTAATTTACAACTCATTCAAATAATTAAAAGTTAATAATATAATGTAGCTGTAAATGTTTAATTTCTCCTTAAAAAATTTATTTCTCTTTGAAGGATAAACACTTCATATGCATTTTCTTTACTTATAATTAATATACACACATTCAAATGTTATTTCCTGTAATACAACAAATTGAAGTAACATAATATTTCATTTTTCCATTTCTGTGTTACATCCATCCATCCATCCATCCATCCATCTTCCAACCTCTCAGCCTAGACAGGGCCATGGGGGACCTGAAGCCCCTCCCAGGCAGCAGGGGGCACAAGGTTTTCCGGCGTTCAGATAACACATTTAACCTACATTCTTGATCTGCTATTAGTTTCCGGACAGCCCAGTGTCTACAGGGTCCTAACTGCCATTAAGCAGAATTTACTCAGCTTGAGAAACACTTTCCGAAGCCAAATTAAATGTAAGGCAATTATCAAGCGATGAAGGAAAGAGGTAGAGTGGATCCACCACACGGACAGCAATTAATTATTAACAAGGAAACGGTGTCTTTAACCTCTTCACTCTGGTGGATTACTTGTCACAGACAGGCCTCTCATAACAGGCCTGTCTCTCCCATTATGCCTTGTCTATTTGCTAATCAAAACGATTGTGACAGCCCCTGGATATCCAAATCACCTCGATTCATAGCTCATTAGTGGAGACGGGAGCATGTGACGGGAGCAGCGTGGAGCCGGCTTCCTCTGCAGGTGTGTCGGAGCAGGGCAAGGGGGTGCGGGGGGAGGGGGCTTCTGTCAGGTTACATGGGCGGCTTGGTGAGAAGGGTACCCTTAAATGAGGTCACCACTGCTACACGCACAGACTTTTCAATTATATATCGAGCTGAACCGCTGAAGTTGGACAAAGTAATACAACCGGATATAATTAGGTTTTCATAGTAAATAACAGTTTCTGACCTTCAAAATGCAACAAAGTCTAGGATACCTCAATTCAGCATGTGTCTCTGGATGAAGCAGAAGCAGCGGCATTATCATACTTGGCGTTACTATAGACACAGTGTTGTCCAGGGGTATACAATGTCAGGGCAGGGGATGAAAGCAGGCAGAGCTAAGCCTTTGTAAGCAGAAGACCTGACAGATAGCTATTGATGAGTAAATTAGCATGATGAGTGATACATATGCAGAAGACAAAGACAACAGCCCCCAGATTAAACCTACATCCATCTTCCATGTTAGCAGTGGAAATCATGCAAAGGGCACATTTCAAGGTGTGTTGAAAGGAAAGCAGCTGTAGGCCGGGGTGTACTGGTGTGTCATACTGTAGGTGTGTGCTTTTTTTTGACATTGGGGATCCTAATTACTGCTCCCCCAGTGTGGTGAGGGGTGGTCTAAAGGAGAGCTTTGGTTACCTGCAGCAAAATTACAGTGAGGCAATGTGGGCGTATTGAGCTCGACTTGCCTCACAGAGTTCCATGTCAGTAAGCGTTTCTTCCTGCCATCGAGTCCTGCAAAAGCAAAGGGGTTTTCACTCTAATAAGCACTTAACTACCAATTGCATTAGCATTATAAATACAGTGAGGCATCTGTGAAAATGTTATATTTCAGACATCTGCTTCAGCATCTAATGTAATACTTAGCAGGCAGTCCACAGTGACTCAGGGGTCAGGTTAAAACTGAAAAACGCCATTTACCAATTTGATCACCAGTTCAGTCATGACAGTAACAACAAGAGGCCGTAGGAAACAGGAGGTTAAACGGGAGCACCAATGACGGCCCCTGCTAAGCCTTCAGGATTTCCCCATCTCGGCGAGCTCTGCGTAAAAAGTCATTATTGCCGAGAGGATGTCAGCGATCGATCCCCTGCAGTTTTATTCCTCTAACAAAACTGTCAGAGGCCCATTAGTGTTTATTTACCGATTGTTTGCACAGGGCTACGCACGCTGTTTCCCTTGACTGCAACACAGTTTCTGTGTTTCAACTCAAAACACAAATTAAATGTGACATGGGAATGAAGCCTGGGCTCACAAAGATAATTCCAGCTCTGGCTAGGAGCTGCTTCCTCTCGTGCCCCCATCTCTCTCCCGCTCCGTGGCTCTCTGGCTCTCTCCCGGCACATCTCTCACATCTCTCACATCACTCACACATCTTCCCGGCAACAGGCAAACTGTAAACAATGTTTCTGCTATATGGTACATTTAACTTTATCACTTGATTCTTCCTCTTTTTTTAACCTCCACCTATAATGAAACTGTAAGACCCTTATTCACCATCAATCTATCACAACTGCATGTGTTCATAGATTTACATTTTTAAGTGCTAATTAAAATGAAGGAACAGTGTAATGGAGCGGGAACCACCAAGTAATTATTATTTTTTTTGTGTGAGGAGGATAACAGTGAAACACCTACCAGCAGCAACACTACGTGGGGATGGAAAATGACGGCTATTAGCACACACATGGGAGTACATAACACTGATTATTCTCCAAGGAGGCAATGAAGACACAGACTACTCTTTAAACTCTTACATAACAAGCATCACCTACATGGGCTTGCTGCATTTCACTGTAGCCAAGCTGTCTACACAATATCAAACAAAGGATAGCTTTTACTTCAAAAGGGTGCATTTCACTTCGACAGAATTTGAAACACTTTCTTTAAATGTACCGCAGACATAAATTACATGGGGGCCATTAATGTAAAAACCTAAATTTAAAAAATGCATTAACTACACAGTTAAAATCCACAGAGCCTTCAACCAAAACATTGAACCTCTTTATCTGTGACTTAATTATATACTGAAAGCGGCTTTTGATGACAAATGATAAACTTCACAGCCTTAATAAACCGTGAAATTATATTACCTGATGAGGAAGATTTTACATGCAACGACTCTAAATAATGTTGCAAGCTTTGAATCTGCAAAGACTAGGAAAGAACAGAATTGCACAGGATGTTCATTTGACTTAATGAGTGAATGATAGTATTTTGTACACACCAGTTCTGGGATAAACTAAAAGAGTAATTTTAGAAATATGTTTCCTTTTTAAGATAAAACAGCACCAGCAATCCAAGCACTAGCAGTGATTTTGAAGGCTGGCTACTAGATTATTTATAAAGTATTTCACTGTATAATTTTAGAATCATTCTTCCATCACTTTTGACTCATATGTTATGTACAATCATGAAAGACTGAGATGTGATCCCTGGCATTAAGCTGTTTGAAACCATCCTTTTACCCATCAAACCAAACAACTTAGTAGCATCACCTTTGAATAATAATCAAAATCTCTGATGCTGTTTTTTATTTTTGGGGAGCCATCACTATAGGTCACTGCAAACAAGCCGTCCACGAAACCCTCTCTGTCTTTTCAGGTCGTAGCTGATAACTGCCCACAAGCTGAAGGAACGGGCTCTGCTCAGGGGAAGCACAAAATCGAGTTGCACCGCTTGCTTAGAGGACTCCACATGTTGCTAGGAGATAACGTTCAACAAATTGAAAAGCATTTCAGATTGGTTTAATCACGATCTTGGCTAATCCCCGCACAATGCACTTTCCAAAACCTCAGGAACTGCAAACAGACATCACGTAAAATAAATATTCCAATTTTAAGCCTCAAACTTTGTGATGACATCTAGGAGAAGAACATTTCAGATTAAAGACCCACTGGAATGGGTAAAGAAACCTCTACTGAATACAAACTAGCTGCAATGCTTTAATTTTACTCTTATAGTTAATTCTCTGTTATATTAAATTAAACCAGTAAATGAAATTAGCATTATTATATTGGTTAGCATACACATTTATACAAAGCAACCTACGGTGTTATCCATTTGTACAGCTGGGCATTTTATGTACTGATTCAGTCTGGCCCTGGAATATGACGAAACAATCTTCAGACTACAACGAGCAGTTAATCACCATGCAAACTGCTGCTTATCCATAAAAGCACAGGAAATAGTTTTGTTCACCATTACAACAATGGGTAACAGCTTCCAAATTCAAATTAATTTATAGGACCAATAGGAAATTTTGATCAAAATAACTTTACATTTTTTTCTTTTCATCCAGTCATCAATGCCAGATAAGTGCAGTCCTTTGAAGTCAGAAGATAGTGAACTTACAATTTGCATAAGAAACCAGCTTACTAGTAGATGCATTATTATAGAAGACCATCTCTGAAACTTACAAAGCTATGGGGCCTCAGGATTGGAAATGGCACCTTTGCTCTTAAACCATCTGGCATTTCCAAAGGTCCATTCAAGGTCCATTAATTTTATATTTTGTACAGCAAACATGTAAAATTGGATTTTTTCTAACAATGTATTTTAAAATTGTTTCTGCCTTGCTTCAGCATGTATTTGACCCAATCTTTGCAGAGTATCTGAAAAGCTGTATATTTTGAGAAACTGACATCGTACGAATCAATATGGAATGTCATCAAACCAGTGACAATTTCAGATCAATGAATGATTTCTGAGGTTCATACTGTAAATGAGCACAGGAGATGGCTCACTGAATCCTAATAATGAAAATGGATAGCTGGCTTCTTTTCGTTTACCTAGCAACAAAAAAGGGCATATAATAAATCCAATAAAAATACTAATTATATCGTTGATGTATACAGAAAAATACTGATCATTTTATCTGTATGAATCTTATTTCTTGCATTGCTGAGGTAAAACCTAGGCTAGGGATCTCTCTCAGTAGATGAAGGGTCAGTATCTTTGAATCAAAAGGCGACTATTGCATTCCCGGTACAGTAGTTGAGGAATCAGTGAATTCGCGGTTATTTCCTTAAATTTACTTTATATTTGCATCTCGGATGGTGAAAAGTGATCCACCTCATTGCTGCAAATCTCCCGCCTACTAACAATTACACCAAACTCTGTGTGTATTTTGTTCTAATCCTTTACACATTTTTCAGCGAAGTCACCCTATATGCAGGTTACATTTTCATTTGTTTGGTTCATGTAACTGCTAGGGCTTCTCGATATGCAATTTATTCCATTAAATAACAATATTAAAGTATGAATTACGTAACAATAACCAAGTCCAAAAGGAGCTTCAAGAGTTTAAAAAATAAGAATAAAAATAAGAAATAATAAGAAAAAATATACATGTAAATTACATTTCATTTCAGTCTCGATTGCGTTTCTTTTAATAGATATGTCTAATAAAACTAACCATATATTACACCAAATCACAAAAGGACGTACAGCATTAAAACTGAAAATTATAATTCGATGATGCTGGTTTAGTTAATTCAAAATCAAATAAGCAGTAATCCCTGAAAAAATCCCACTAAATGTGAATGAACAACATAATGTCTCAAAAATCCAGGGCTGCTAAAAGACTGCTAGAATTATTATACCGCAGGTGCTGCGTAAACATATAACTTTGTGTTTGACAACGAGGAAGCTGGCTAACCGGTATACCGCCTGGGTAAATTATAGACAACGTTAAATACAATTAGGCTTGGATTTGTCGGCTATTTAGGGATGGCAAGCAATATATAACTAGGCACACATGTATTCGTTTAATACATGTAATTGGATTTCATATTGCGGAGTTGAATCAGTGCGCGGACGCAAACGGACGGACACGGCGGCTCGAGCGTGTGTTGCTATAGCAACATGTTAGGTCGTTTCCCACTCATTTGAGTTTCCTAAAAAACATACACAATTTTTTAGTTACAACAACAGACACACATTTACCGTACACTTATTTTGCAGGGCCTATATTGAAGACTCGCTGCCAGATGCTGCCGCGATACTGCTGTCGCGTCTTTTTGAGTCTTCAAGAATGGCACGTAGTAGTCTGAAAGTTTTCACACGCGAAAAACAGAAAGGTGGACTACGGCAAGCGGACTGAGACAATTTGTGCGTAATGGAAAATGTACACCAGAAGTGATTTCCCTCAATTTAGCCGTATTGGGAAAAGTAATTCTGTTACGTAGATTTAATTTTCAAATATTTTCATTATACCCTAAAAATATATGTTGAAATATATAGTTTTTTTCTCTTTACTCAGCAACCGTTTTAACGGAACATGGACTTCAAATGTAGGCTAATAGTAAATATAACTTCATAATTATTCAAAATACTTCGGTTCAAAATATGCATGGGTATGTATCATTTCTTCCTACCATTTTATTGTGGGGTAATTGCATTTCCTGGTTAATAAAATTTTAAAGTAATGTAAATGACATCTATTCATCTTCTGACCGCTTATTGGGGTCAGAGTCAGAGTGGAGCCTGGAGCATATCATAGTCAATAAAGGGCACAAAGCTGGGCTGCACCCAGGAATGGATGCCAGTCTATCACAGCGCACACACCTACTTGCACACTCGTATACTATGGGGAATTACGAGGTGCCTAATTAGCCGAATTCATTTCTTTGCACTGTGACAGGAAATCGGACAAGGAATCACCCCCAGCAGAGGTACGACACGAGCCCAAAACGCTGGATATGAGCAAATAGTGCCGCCCCCTCAGCCTCTGTCTGTTCCTTCGAAAATATTTTCGGATGTCTGTCCCCATCTAGTGTTCATTTGTATTAAGAGATTATTTTTATTTACATATTTAACATGTCGTGAGGTGATCATTTAAATACAATCTTTATGTAATTATGTTCCTCATATTCATGTTGTCCACATTTAACTTTTTAGTTTTAACTGAAATATATATAAATTAATGCAGTTTTTGATTTAGGTTTTAGTGTGCAGGTTTTTAAGGTTATAATACAGCATAGAACATTGTTTCAGACATTACTATGACACTTTCAGTCTGTAACAGTAAATGAGGCGTACTTCAGAAATGCGAGAGAGAGAACAATTTTCAGTATATGCCTACGTTATGCTAGTTTGAACCAACAAAAAAAAAAACAACACTGGTGTAATAGTCAGCAAATGACAGCATGTGGCTCGGATTTAACATTTCTGTAAGTCATCAGGATTCAACAGTGCTGCCTACCCACTGTGCTGCCCATTATATTTTATTTTTCCATTAAGAGAGGCCATTCTGCACTGTACTGAGCTGTTATTTTTGTACTTGCGACCTTCAATTTAGCTTTAATGATTCTGGCTATTTTCCTCTGACCTCTCTCATTACTGAGGTGTTTTCATACACAGAAGTGCCCAGACTGACAGTTTATCACACCATTCTCTGTACACTAGATGCTGCAGTGAGTGGAATTCCCAGAAAGAAGACTGGTTCTGCGATGCTGGAACCACCAATTAAGTCCAACACGAACAATCACACCATACTCAGAATCACTTAGGTCACACATCATAGCCATTCTTATGCTTAGCCAAGGCATAACAGAACCTCTTGACCTAGTCTGTGTTCTGAATGTATTCAGGTACAGCCATGTGATTCACTGTCTGCATTAAAATGTATGTGTACTTTATTTGCCTTACATAAAAGCACATATGTCAGGGTCAGTGCCTATACCTAACCCTAACCCTAACCTTTCCCTGCTTGGCCAGCAGCCATTGCTGGCTATTCTGCCTTTTCCCTGCTCTCTGTCTCTTGCTTTTCAACCCTAGTGTGTTTTCCATATTCCTTAGACTGCTGTGTAGCTTAATGGGTTGAGCATTTGGATCCAAGGCTGAGAACCCTCTGGTTGTGGGTTTTAGGACAGTCTCACCTGTTTTGTTTTTCTCTAGTGTTTGTTATTAGTTATCATTGCTTCTCTGTTTTGAGTTAGGGTGCTTGTGCTCTGTTTTATTATGTTCTGTTTGTACTTGTTTGTTAAAGTTCCCTTGTCCAGTGCTCATTTATTGTAGTTCATTCCACCTGTTGCCTGTTTCCCAGCTTTGTTTGATTGATTGTTCTTGATTATTCACACCTGCACTTTGTTAGTCCTCAGTATCAGTGTATTTAATTACCTGCCTTTATTGATTTCCCCAGTCAGTCATTGTGATTTGTTCTGCAAGTGTTACTCTACCTGTCTCCCTAGTCTCTGTATTACCTATTTCCCTGTGTGGGTTTATTTATGCATCAGCTTGCAGTGTTTTCCCCTTATTTCTTTTTTTGTTGTTTTTTGGGATTTGTTCCCATTGACTTTGGTTAGTTTTGTTCTTAATAAACCCGTCTGTCTTGGATCCGCTAGTGGATCGTCACTGCATTCTGCTTGCACCATGCCCAAGTTCATAACAATATATTCCTTAATTTTTGCATATCTTATTCTTCTATGAGACACACAAACACAAGTGAGGGTAACGCTTGTTGTCACCCTGCCAGCCATGGGATTCAAATCAGCAACCTTCCGATTACCGATGCAGAGCTCTAATCCACACACCAGAGGAAGATCAGGAAGTACTTATAATGACTTTCAGGAGGGCTCATCTGGGATTTGAACCCTGTGCCTTTCATACCCAAAGTGAGAATCATACTGCTAGATCAATGCGTCTAAATCTGGAGCTGCAAAGCAACAGTGACACCTACTGGCCATGATGCTGCCCAGCAAAATATAAGCAAGCGTAGGCTAAAAATGAGAAATACATACATTACTCAAACATATCAATGCAGCATTTATTAGTACATTATTGCTATGTCTTCCTTTGGTTAAAAGAGTACATTTCTTTTGAAATCAAATTGAATACGTTTATTGTTTTAAAAAAAAAAAACTATCCCACTGCTTTTACTGGCGCATGAGCAGTGCCTCCCCCCGGGTGGGATGTTATCAGAACACAATAACAACAAATATGACAATATAATGAAAATTTATGATATATAATAAATGCATAAAATTGTGGAAATGTCATTGTGCAGAAGCAAGAAAAAATGAGTAAACTAAAATAATTACTGTCAGGAAATACAAAAATGATCAAAAATTATTATGGTTCTTTGAATAGGAGACATATATGCTTTGTAGTCTTATCTTTCTGGCCAGATATGTAAGAATGATGGAGTGTGCCATCGACAGATTAGCATTTTAATGCTAACATTTCTCATTAAAATATGGATGTCTCTGGAGAGCAGACTTCAGTGGCCGTGAAGACTCTCCTGTCTCACACAGACTTCCGTCTTTTGCAAAAGACGTCGTTGATGAGCTGGGCCATGGACCTGGAGCCGCTGTAGCGGCGCCGGTCGGCCCGGCACTTCAGACGCTCCATGGCGTGCCGAATGAGCTCAGTGAAGAGGCTGAGGATCTCTTGGTGGTCCTCTGCTGCTGACACCTCCCAGAAGTGGCACTTGTTCTCCAGGGCCAGCAGACGGCCCTCCTCCTGGTACACCTGCCGGGCGTGACACAGGTCCTGCTTGTTCGCCACCAGGCAGACAGGAATCTCCCTGAGCCGAGCCAAAGTCCACCAATGAGCATCCAGGCCAGTCACAGATCACAGCATTGCTTCACCCATTTAGCTCACCATGCTCCAAACCCAGCACCATCAAACAGTATGTTTCTATTGCTATAATGTGTTTTAACTGTATAAAGAAAATACAGGTATTTGGGAAACATTTTACTTGAAGCTATTATTTATAATGCATTATAGATATCTTCATAATACATTATAATTATCAGTATAAGCATTAAGGATGCTTTGTACTGCATTATGAAGGTATCTATAGTGAACTATAGACAAGAACTTCATAATGCAGTTATAATACATAATAAACATGGCTATAATATGTTATGCCTTTACTTAAATATTTATAGTCCTTTATGAATGCATTATATGTTAGAATGTGTTCATAGATTTTTATCGAAATGGAATTCATAGAAAGTGTTAATGTTATTTGTTTTGAATGACCAGAAATGATTTATAATGCATTCTACAGATAAGAAACACTCATTTGTAGATACACGTCTCTAGATAGCAGTGGTCATCTTGCAGTTATCTGAGTATGATGAACGGTGAAGACTTTTTGCTACTAAATAGATAGAAAAAAATCTATTTCATAACAATAGTTAAACTGACATATAAAAGTATTTAAGTATAAAATCTCCTGACATTACAAATTATCTTTCAGGATGTTGGCTTTGATCAGCATCCCCAGCAAAAAATCAGTAAAATAAAAGCCAGGTGAAGAGGCGTGTTGTTTCCAAAGGATGGTCGACGATGCAGCTCCTTATGCTTAATCTTGCAGGGATCCTAAGTGGCACTGGGACCAGGCTGCGATTCCAGTTGAGTTGTAATTAGCTCATATTCTATCATTTTGTGCTTCTACTTAGCATTACATCCGAATGACTTTCATGTAGTAAATGTCCTTGAAAAATCGAGTCCTGCTAATATTTTATCAAATTTTAATTAATATGCAAGAGAAAATTGGACAATAGCTGTTATGGGGCCAATTCAATTGTGCAGAATAATTATTTTAACGATATAATTAACTTAAGAAGGCCCAGAGGCTCAAAACCCACCAAGTATGTTTATTAAGGCAATATTCCATAGCAGGCATTTGACTCTGTGATCACGTTAAATCTCATGTTTTAATGGCTGCTGTTTTCCTTGTCCTAATAAAGTCATGTTCAGCACTCTAATGGAGCATTTTCTGTTATGCTGCTTGATTGGTATGTGCAGGCAGAAGGTCCCATATGATTGGCTTCACTTTCAGTCCAGGGAATAACAGCATTAGCCTATCAAAGCCCAATCACGCGGTTCCTGTCAGCAGCTCACCCCCGCCGCTGGGTCACGGCGGGACTCACCCCTTGCAGTCGGAAGTACGGGCCTCCCTGATCCGCTGCAGGATGCTTTTGGCGTCGAGGAAGGACGTGCGGTCAATGATGTCATACACCACAATGAAAGCGTCTGCCCATTCCAGAGGCTCCTCCAAGATGCACCTGCTGCCCACCCTCTGCCAGGGTTTAGGGTGGGGTGGGGGTACAGTTCTCATACAGCTTAACATGGTAAAGCCATCACGCACTACATTGCATCCTCCCAACTCCCATCCCAGCTGTGACACCTTCCAGGATGACACAGAAAACAGGCGACGGTTCACTGCATAACCACGTAAGACTACATACATCCATGAACATTCATACAGGCTCCTACCTATTTTTGCACAACCTTATCTGTGCTGTACACATCGTCTCATACTTGTGGTTTTGCACTATTTGTTTGTATCTGTGCACTCAGTATGCAGGCAGATTCCCCATTGGGATCAATTGAGGATGCCTGTCTATCTATCGATCTGTCTATCTCTGGTAGGGCACATCGCACATTCTTCAACCCTTCATTCGCCCCTAATTACCAGCTGACCTTCAGAAGCGCTATATGCGTCGCCCCATGTTCGGCTTTGCCAGTCATGTGTCTGGGAGTGTAATTGTCAGTTTAACGCTGCCATTTTCCCTCCCTTGTAGCTTAATAGTTATAACAGCTGAGGTTAGTGTACAGTCTTGTACTGCAGCCTCCAGACTTCGTAATAAAGGGAAAACCATTGTATAAAATCGCCTCACATGTCCCAGATGTAGCTGCATTAATCAGTGATCAGCTTATGTTGTCTTGCCAAATTTTTAAAGGTAAAGTCCCTGATATGTACAGCTGCAGGGCATGACTTCAGAAAGTAAAAAAAAACACTACAACTACAAAAATGTGCTATACTGATCGAATCTAAATGGAGCACAAACATGCATTCATGTGAAAGAGTGGAATTTCCTTTGTAGTGTGCAGCAAAGCAGGCTGGACCGCAATAATGGAAGCCAATTTAAAACCCAGTATGGTTCAGCATTACACGCCACCGGAGGAGCGTATGATGACATAAGTATATACCTGAGAACACGGATCAAAGACTTCCAGGTTTAATTGCCTGCCATCTACTGAGAACCTTTTATGGTATAAGAAATCTGTAAAGCAGAAAAAGAAACTTTTTAATATAAAAGAATCAACTCTGTGGCTATTGCAAGTTGGCCATAGACATTTTAATACAAAGAACATAGGCAGGTTATGTAATTTCTTGTCAAAGTATGAATAAGTCTTAAATAAACACTAGTTGAGTGCCATTGCATAAAATGGGTAATAGAGTGTGACGCGCATAAGGGTTCAGTACAGAGCAACATCTCCTGGCTTATGCTGCTGGCAAGCAAAATAATGCATTTAATAAAAACAGCCTTCATGAGAGGGGTTTGGAATCATATACCCCATGGAAGCACATAAAATGAATAATGGGGAAAGGGTAACATGACCCTAATTTCACTGAGCAATTATCAGGCCGTTCCAGTGGAAATTTCTTTCTTGTTGCAAGAGGCGTGTTGGGCTTGCGTCACATGACCTCTGCAGCGGCCTGTTCTGGAGTGCCTGTGTCTTGTCTTTATGCTTCTTTTAGAGACGGTCTCATTTATGTGATGGACTTAAATCATAACCGCGGAGAGCACAGTCCAATGCGCAGGACCGATGTGAACGCGCAGACACTTTGAGGCCACATGGAGGGGCGACACGGCAAGGTGAGCACTCACTGCTGCTGGACGCATACTCTCCGATGAAGCGCTTTGTCAGGAACCTCACCAAAAGAGCTGGGGAAGGCAAACAACACGGTCAGCACCAGGCCACACCATTCCGGGGTTAATCTTCTGGGGGTCAGCACGACCACTGAGTATTACTAAAGTCTCACAGGCGAGAGTGATTCCCCACCACCCTATAAACGCACCACAAGGGCATTTTTGCTAAATGCTCTCTTGCTCGTGAGCTCAGAGAGTGATTCTGCGGTTTTATTTACTCCTGCTAGCATCCCATCTGCATTTAGCCTCAGGCACTGCTGCTCCTGTCACCCATTTCCTAATTTGCTCTCCTTAAGGACCTCAGGTAATTAATTCCTGATATTTAACGGCACCGAGCTTCACTCCAGGAGTCCGTGCCAGCCTTCTTCCCCACCACTGTACAGAAAAAAATGTAGCGGAAAATAAGCTGTTTTATAAAATGAGGGCATTTATTATACCAAGTAGATTAATTTTAACTGCCCATATTTGGCCTGTATTTGCCACACTGTAAAAAAAAAAGAGTGCCAATTTGTACCTTTGCTTGTCGCTGGGGCTGTACCCTCGATACCCTCGAGGGGGTTCCAGTTGTACCCTTAGCTGTAGGTAAATGAACCTTTACTTTGATTTAAGGTACAGAAATGGACTCTAAGGAACATCCCCAAGGTACAAACAACATCAGCGTTCCCACAATGGTACACAAAAGTTCCTGATAGTTCACTTCTGTATCTTAAAAGGTACAATTACCAACAGCTAAGGGTACTATTGGCAGACCCTTGAGGGTACAGCCCCAGTGACAAGCAAAGGTACAAACTGGTACTCTTTTTCCTCACAGTGCACACATAATTTTATACTGCAACATTTCAGAAGAGTTTTGTAGTTTTACGGTAAGTTACTTTTTTGTACATTTTCATTCAGTGCCCTCAGTGTATTTTCAGTCTGGTTGTCGAGATGCTGTGCAGAGACACACACTCACAGCAGAGAGGTACCAGTCACTTACCGGACTTGCCCGCTCCCTCCCTGCCCAGCAGGGCCAGCTTAATGTCATTCATGCCAAAGCCCCCAGCCTCCCAGGCTTCTGCACGCCGCTGTCTGCTCTCCACCTGGGAAGCACCAGGGACCGTGTTGCTTGTAGGAGTCGCTCTGCTACCAGAGAGCTCCCAGAAAACATACAAATGCACACACACATTCCACACACACACACACACACTGCTCCCCTCCCACCTGAGAGACGCTCCAAGTCGGAATACTTAAAGCTGAGGTTTCCTCTGCAAAAGTTATCTCAGCGTTCCACAGTTTACTGACTTTTGTAAACTTGTACATTTTCTGTAAGTTCCATTTCTCAGATAAAAAGTTGGACTTGAAAGAGCACAACATTGAAAAAGTCAGGTTTGACTGTTTTGCTTCATATGTTTATCTCATCACAGTGACACTCGTGACTTTATTGTCTCCACTTAAAACAAAGGAAATCTTTCTTTATCACAGTGGAAATTTGTTATAGAATAAGTTTAAGAGACTATTGTATTTCCCATCCAGTGAGCAGTATGATAGTATAGACATTATATACATATGTGTGTGCATTTCATATGTTTACTCTTAATTGCAAGCAGAGTTATTCTCATACTTCCTAGGTGACCTCATCTTGTTATGGCTATTATGGCGGCTGTTAATCTTACAGTCACAGTCAAATCTCAGTGGTCTGCAAAACATTACAGACATAAAAATAAATTCCTGACTGTATCCCACATCAGCTGCATTGTGGGAAGGACAGAAATACAACTACCAGGACAGGATACAAATTCCTGGACAAAATACAACTACCAGGACAGAATACAACTACCAGGACAGAATACAAATACCAGGACAGAAGGACAGAAATACAACTACCTTATAAAGCAAGATGGAGATTAAAAGACTGAAAGAACAATCAGTTTTCACACTTTTACCTTTTTATACAAAATGTATTCAATCATCAAATCCTCAAATTAATTTTACTTAATTGCTAATTTTTAATACTGTTTTTATTATTTACTAACTTGTAACTTGGAAACAACTCACTACTCAAAGACCTTGTAAGCTTTCTCACACCTCATACTTCCTTCCGGAGTTTTGATTAAACAAAGTTAAATATATAAACTGTGCTTGGTAAACCAAACAAACAGGAAGATCATAAGCAAGATGTGCATGCACGATTCTGTATTTGAGAAAGGGAAATTCACAACCCCCTTAGAGATCATTTTGTGGTATCATCAGACCTTGCAGCTTTACCAGGGTGGAAATGGCATCGCATTGCTTGCAATAAAGTCACTCTTTCAGGGACAATAAGGTAAGACAGCATTAATTCTCACAGGTGTGAACCTGTAACCAAAAAATGTTTGGTCAAATTTCAAAAGGATATTAGCAGGCCTGGTTATTGTCCTATTTCTCAAAAAATATCCCCTGTCCTGAATAAATTGTGACCTGAAATCTGTGTAAATTACTCTGTGTAGTACTCTGCTAAGAAACTATATCCTTTGTTGTTTTTGTGGTATTACATGTTCACTTGATAATCAAAGAACATGAATATTTTAAGAAGTTTTTGTAGAGCAGTGGCACAGAACCCTGATCATAGATCAGATAGATGAGATTCCAACAGAGAATATGGAATACTTTTGGGAATGATCTGAGTACCAAGTAAGGTGTGTTAATATCTAAATAATTACTTCAATAACGCAATTAGCATCTGAAAGTGACACTCTGTGGTCCTTGAAGACTTTGGTTGGGCAACCCAGTTAAAGAAGAACACAGATGTAAAAATAACAATGTATTGACCTGCTATATTGCCATTTTTATAAACTTATGCAAGAGGTCCAATAAAAGCACCACAATTCCCCAATGAGATCCTTGCCTATAACTGTCACACAACATTAAAACAAACCCTTTAAAAACTTGAACGCTGAAAAGCTCCTCCCATATTTAGAGTTCATCTGGCCCTCACTTTCTCTGCATTAGGTCTGTTGGGATTAGGATGTGCTTTTTTCACACCTTAAGACAAAGCCACCTTCATGGCCTATTTACCCGTCTCCTTCCCTCGCTGGCTCTGGAGCCTCTGTAACCCTCGGTACGGAAGACGTCGTTGTTTAGGTAAGGACGGCGGCCGAATTATACACAAGCAGCATGTACAGTCAGCATGGCATCAAGAATCTTTATTGCCAACTTAATTGGGAGATATGGTTATCAAAACAATATTTTAGGATAAGCGAAACAAAAAAACGGTTCTCAGAAACATTTTAAATGATGATAGGTGCTCTCAGAGTAGGAATGGGGGCAGATGGCCAACTATGACTCAATAGTAAATAGGTTTAGATGTAACAGGCAGTGATTACTTTGTGTCTGAAACTTGGATGGCTCTGGAGAGACTCTTATAACAGCATCCACAAACAGGCAATAAGCGTCTTAATTCTGTAGGTACTGGGGGGTTACTCCCAGGCTGGGGGATGATTTGATTTGAGTGTCATTCTGTTATTGCCTGGTGATGGGGTACACAAGCTGGGATACACAAGAGAATTGCCTGGATTTGCGGTGCCTCTCTGTGGAAAATGTTTTTTTTCTTCCCAAAATCAATTGCTGCATTCAGACTGCAGTATTCAGACATGTGACTAAATGATAAAAGCTGTCACCAATTCACCAATGCTGTCCTACAATGGCAAAACCCAGAAACTGCATATTTTATAAAAACTGAGTTATGACTGAAATTGGACATTGTCATATCTTTGACCAGGGGTCTCCAACTCCAGTCCTGGAGAGCTACTATCCAGTAGGTTTTCTATCCTACTTGGCTTCTGATGAGCCACAGCTGACCCTGGTATTTACCTGAGAACAGGTGTGGCTCATCAGAAGCCAGGTATGATAGAAAACCTACTGGACGGTAGCTCTCCAGGACCGGAGTTGGAGACCCCTGTCTTAGACATTGTTTCATCTCATGACAAAATATCAACTATGCTCAGAAAACTGAGTATGAAAATCACAGTAATTACAAAATTCACACTAAAACCAAGGTATAGCGTGTTTTTTTCTCAGTTTCAGTGTCACTGTAATTACTGTGTTTTACCTTTGCAAGGCCGAATGGCCTTAGGCCTTTACTGCACAGCTACATTACAGCAAGTGTATTATGTCACTTTATCTAGTGCTAACTTGATCTAGTAGATTAATGTAGTAGAAAGACCTCACATGCAGTAAGCAGGAGCATGTCTTGTTGGAAGAGCACATATGCAGCCTTGGATCTGCAAAAAACTGGGATGCATCCAACGAAGATGTTTTGAAAAAAAAAAGTATCTTCCAGCATTGCAAGAAAAACGGCCAGAAAAGGCTGCACATGTGCCCTTCCATCAAGACATGCTCCTGCTCTTTGGGCGGTGCTTCTTCAGAGGGTTCTTCTTGACATCAACTCCAACGTAGTTTCTCATGCTCCCTACTCACCTGACCTTACAACTAGCAATTTTTGGCTTTTTCCAACACTGAAGGACACTTCCTGTGATCACACCTTTTCCAGTCGTGCCACTCTTGCATCAGCGACTTTCCAGTGGACACGACAGACCCCTAGAGAAGTGTTTGCAGCGGTTATGAAATCATGGTGTAAACGTTGTGAAAAATGTGTACGTCTAGAAGGTGACTATGTTGAGAATTGACAGCAGTTTCAGCTTTCTGGGGTATTTTTAAAGATTAGGATACCTTAGGACTTGAATGTACCTTGTATTCCTCAAATTTCAAGCTTCAACAATGAGTTTGTTTTTAGCTACCTTGCTTCAAGATAAGGTCCCTGTTGTCATCATGAGTATCCTTTAAGGGATCCTTGCCTCATTTACAGCTGGAGCTACAATGAGGCAAAGCAAGGAGTTGAGGTTCTCCTCTAGCTTCTCTTAGCAGGGGAAAAGCTAGTGAAGTCAGGTCACATTTTAATATATAATGAGGCTCTTGAGCTGATTAATTAGGGCAGACAGAAACATCCATCCTTGTGTTTTTCATTTCTACTCAAATAATCGAGGGCTAATCTTGCCATCTTCCTTAATGTGCAGACAGGACATTAACCACCACCACCACACACTGCTGTCAGCTATCACAGCTCCGGCCCACTGGTCTCCTCTCCACATCCTTCAGAACCCAATCACTGCATATTTTCAGCCAACGCAAACGTGACCAGGAGCCAGCTTATATGAAAAAGCCCTGACCATTCTAGTGCCTCTTGTTGTTATGAAAGAACTATAATGGACCTACATTTAGAGCAGCCTTTGGAGTAAATGATCTGAAGGAACAGGATGTATTTAATGGCGCTGGAAGTCATTCTGCCCACGGAACAAAGGTTCACACAAATGAGGATATAGGTCCGATAATGTGCCACAGTATTACAGAAGATTGTTGATCAGCTTCCAGCTATTAAAGTCAACTTGGCAGTTTTTCCCGGTAGGATCTTTCTGGTAGGTTCAAAAACAAAAGCGGAAGCAAATTGAAACAAAAATGTATATTTCTACTGTGTTCCATTTTGCTAATATATGTTCGATAAAGGTCTTGGGATGGCAAACTTACTGGATTTTAGAATGATATATGTTATCTTTACCATCTCCCTTAAAGGCATTTGTTTGCAGCAAATGCAAAATTTTCCAGAATTTTGCAGGAGTCTTTAAACATCTAAACATTTGTGCTAGAAACATTAAAAACATGACCATTAGAGGTGGGCTATTTCCTACATTAATGACAGCTGGAAGTCTAAATGTGTGTCTTACCAGCAAATTACAGCCTTATTTTGACTCAAGTGAATTCACTGGTTAAAAATAGGGATTGGCAAGCTCAAGAAATGAATCTTAATAATTAGGCAAATTATCAAAGGAAAAAATGAACTGGAAATGACTCTGCTTTAAATAGCTTAAACGTATGATTACATTAAGTATTTTGATGGGAAAAAGGCACAAGAACCCCATCTCTGGCAAGTGAGCCTGAAATCATTTTAAATGTCAAACTGATTTGTTTTTTTCTATAAAAAGCAAAATCAGGGTAACCTGCAGAAAAATGGCGACCGGCATTTAAAAAGGGGAAATCAACAAAACACAGCTGGGGTGTCTGTGAGCAGGAGCTATGAAGAAAAGGACAGGATACATTTATTGGAATGTCAGCTTGTGTCTGCATGACCACGTATTTAAAAATGCTCCTTGGGATCCCATTCAACTGGGTACAGAATAATATCAAACATAGAAGCATTTTGAAAGGAGCAGGACACAAGTACTATGCAGTGAGCATGAAGGGTTCCTATATTAACCAAGTGTGTGCAAATCCCCCCTAGAATCTCCATCCATGTCTCCTCTCTGCACCTCAAAGACCAGCATGTGGGTAGATAAGTGCTCACGCTTGGGACCCGAGATGCCATGTTTACTGTACCGTACCAGCTTCCATTTACTGGCACAGAAATCCTTCAAAACACCAGAAACGGCACCAGCCCTCTAACTCAAAAGCCTGTCTTAGAAAACGACACCGGCAAGACCTCAGTAGTGTCATTAGATGCTATTGATGCAGAGGCACAGCCTGGTAACGTGCCGGAAGCTCATCGCCACCGTGTGTAAGCGATGTGTTCCTCACTGGTTCAATACAGAGAAACATTTAAATCAATTTCACAGGACACCCTGTGTTGTAGGTTCTTATGGTTTTATTTGCCTCAAAGCGCAATGTGAGCTTGACAGTTTGTGTTATTCTGCTGAAGTCGGAGCTACTACTGGACAGTCCAGTTGGTTTGTCTGCTACAAGAGGTACAGTAGGGGCATCAGGTTACTTTTAGTTAAGGAGCAAAAACCTACATCCAGCAGGTCCATAAAGCAGGGCCCCACTGAGCAAGGGGATAGTATTGAGTAGGCTTATAAAAAGCATATGGAAAAAATACATGACAGCATTTTATTTTAAACAGAGCTACTGTATAATACATGGTAGTGAGTCCTTTACATCCTGGCCATAGACGAACACCAATAAGCTGGCAAGATTTACAAATATGTAGAGAATATAGACTTGAGACTGCAAATAAACTGCAAGTCAAGCCTCCCATTAAAATATCCAGATCATGCTACATCTCTAAAGTTAAAACAAAGACACCCTGAATACATTTTATAAAAGGATAATTTTATAAAAATGTATACACGCACATATATATATATATATATATATATATATATATATATATATATATATATATATATATATATATATA